ATATAATTAATTGTTATCAAATTAAAAACAATGACCTTGCATGTTTTTTTCGAACAACCTAAGTCTGCACGAAACTTTCTTCAATTTTGCGCAATTTAAATCTCTTCGGACATATAAAGTGTTTAATCCATGTATTCGAACTTCAATTTCAATATTTCTTTTTTTTTCGGTAGATGAACAGTATTGAAAGTCAAAGTGTAAGCTGGTTCATTTTCACTTCTAAACAATCCCCACCACCTTACACTACTATTACTCTTCCACATTGTATGTATACATATTTGTAATTATTATGTTGATGCTGTTTCGAGCTAGACCACTTAAGCACTTATACTCTTTTTTAACTCAAGTTAATTTCAAAACCCCTCTTTACACCTTGACTAGATTATTGTTTAGGACTTCATCAGACTAAGCAATAATTGACCTCAGATCTGCATACCTCCCCGAGGAGCCTTTAACCATTTTGAGATTTGATAACGCGGTGTTGGTAAGTCTGTCAGTTTTCGCAAATAATTTTAGGGCTCTATCCTTTAAGTATTTGTAAATCCTTTTATTATATCTGTTTGATAGATATTCGCAGGTTACAACAACAACAACAACAACAACAACAACCGTGTGTGCCCTTAAACCACTAAAACAAGTTTTTAGAAATGATTTGTAGAAAGATACACAGCACTTAGACTCAGACTCAGACTGTGAATCTCATTTCGATATATTACAAACATTTTTAGCTCCTTTTAAGGAAGCGAAGAATACTTGGAAGAGATTAGAAACTGATATTTGTGTCAATTACGACGTTGGGACGTAACGAGCAAGATAAAAAGAAATGTTCTATTGTGTCGCCATCCAAACAAAGTGAATATAAGCTATTCTCAACTATACTTAAAAAGGTGTTTCTGGCAGATGGTGTGGTCAGTGGTCGCAATTAGTAATCTATAGTACCTGCGACATAGTTTCATTAGAAAACCTTTGTCTTTTTCACTGACTGCAGATAAAACCAACACAACAGATTTAAGCAAGCCAAGAAATGATTAAATGTTTTGGGTTCATTGGTGAAATTGTTTTGTCTGTTCACATAGTTTTTTATACATTTACATTCATGGACTAGTTTTAATGACGCAATCGTATAGATCAGGGCTATAAATCCAGTTTGGTTGTCGTTAAGAACCACGTTCACTATCCTTTTAAATTTAAATTCAGAAATTAGTTCTATGGGTATCGAGATTCTACGAATTTTTGTTTGAGAGACAGATTTGTGTGAAACCAAGACAAAGTGGTATTTGCTGTTCAAATTGTCGAAAAATATACCACCTCCTTTTCAGTACTCAAGCCATTAGTAAAAAGTCATGAAAGAGCATTAGGTGTTATCAAGTGACCGTCCCAGTTCTGACGTCCCGAAATTAAAACACGGAAAGTATGAACTAACTGCAAGTTTGGTGTTTGGTGCATCTGCTGGTATTGTCGGCATATCTGTAGCAGTTTCTCTGAACTTTAGTTTGGATGGCGATACCAAACCAAATGCTGCTTCAGTCTGCTGATGACGTTGGCAGTTTCGCTGTAGTTAAACAAGTTTAGCGGGAGGAGGGTTCGTTTTTAGAGTAAATATTTTTGAAAAATAACTGTTAAACAATAAAGAAAATGATTATGTTATACATCCGACATGAAAAATTGATAAAAAAGAAATATATATAATAACGTGCAATATTTTGAACTGATAGTGATTGAACTGTTTGTGTCAATTTATCAAATCATTTTAAAAAAACTATATATGAACATATGAACTATATCCAGTTTGCTTATTAATTGCTTTAAATTTACTTATAGAAAAAGCGACAAGTGAGAATAATGTGAACGAAAATTGGGGATCAATACTCGATGTATGCGATATGGTCACTTCAAATACTGGTTCAGCTAAGGAATGTCTAAGAGCAATTTTGAAACGAATGAATCATGAAGATCCACATGTTATTATGCAGGCTATAACACTTTTGGATGCATGCTCAAGTAATTGTGGCAAGCCGTTCCATCTAGTGATTGCTTCATATGAGTTTGAAACTGAATTTCGACGCTTATTAACAAAATCACAACCAAAAGTGGCAGCTGTAAGTATTTTAATAACATTATGTTCTTATACACTTATATGTTTTCAATAAATCATTTATATATAACAATTATATATAACAGCGAATGTGTCAGGTGCTAAAATCTTGGGCTGAAACTGATTATAAAAAAGATCCTGAGCTAAATTTAATCCCTTCACTGTGCGAGAAACTTATGCATGAAGATTATGATTTTGGTAGTTTATCTGATAAACCAAAATCAAAATCATCTGCATCAAAGGAGCAAAATGCTGCAAATACTCAACAACAAGAAGAAGCTGAAATTGCCTATGCGATTCAACTATCGCTGAAAGATTCCAAATCTAGTCCGAAACATCAAGTTGGTTCTAGCAGTGCTACTAGTAACACCAGTTCAGCTTATGTATGTAGTAAAATTTTATATTTTAAACATATTCTCCATGTTGATTTTTTTTTCCATTAAATAAATAGCCTTCACTGTATCCATCAGTAGCGGGTGCCGGTTCGTTAGGAAGTGTTAATTCAACTGGTACTGGTTCCAATAATTCAGCAACATCACAAACAGAACCACGTAAAGTGCGTGCTTTATATGATTTTGAAGCTGCTGAAGAAAATGAATTGACTTTCTTTGCTGGTGAAATTATACACGTTTTAGATGATACAGATCCGAATTGGTGGAAGGGTATGAATCAACGTGGTGATGGTTTGTTCCCATCTAATTTTGTTACTGCAGACTTATCTGTTGATCCAGAACGTTTAGATATTAACCAACAAAGTAAGTCAAAGAAAAATGTACAATTTGATGATGACGTTAAGGAGCTGCAACAAAAGACTGAAGCTGCTGCCGTTGCAGCTGCCAATCAACAAGTTGAAATTGATGAAATAAAAATAGATCGTTTGCTGCATTTGTTGCATGAGGCAAATCCTGAAGATCCATCACAAGATAGCGATGAAATGTTACGCTTAGAACAAGAAGTACATCAAATGGGTCCTTTAATTGATGCAGAACTTGAACATATTGATCGCAAGCATGCACAATTAACGCAATTGTCGAGTGATTTGGTAGATGCAATTAATATGTATCATTCTTTGATGCGTGATGGTGCCATGATGAATAATGGTAATATTTTACGAAGTGGTAATATGATGCAACAATACCCAGGTTACGGTGCGTCTCCTGAACAGAGGGGGTCTACGTGGGGGTTACGTGGTTATGCTCCTCAAATGTCCGCTAACTATGGGCTTCATTCGTTACCATACAGCAATACAGGTCAATTACCACCAATGACAGTACCACCAACAAATGATGCATCAATTCCTAATACAGATATTATGGGTGTGCCTGGTAGTACTTTTCCACCAAACGCGCAGTTACCAATTTTAAGCGTTGGCCAGCAGCAAATATCTGTGCCAATGTCACTACAAAATGGACATCTTAATTCACAACCAATGAATAGCCTTATGAATGGTAAATATAGAGTTACGAATATATATTGATATATAATAATGCTTAAAGGGTGTGCTTGTAGTTAATATCTGGATCTTTGAAAGTTGTTGGTTAAAAAGTTTTAAGCATAAAACTATTTGATTAATTTATCAAATTTTTAATTTATTTTTAATTAATTGAATAATAAATTTAGTATTTGCTAAATTTTTTTATACAAATATATATAGTTAAAATTTCTATTTATTTCTATTTCTATTACATTAAAAGTTTTATTTTTGCGTACAAAAAATAGTTTTTTTTTGAGTTTTTCCTTTTTAAGGCACGAATATTAATTATTTTTGAAGAATATGATAGACAAATTTAATTATTATTTTTTATAATATATAACTGCGTATTCATCTTATATAGTTATTGTATTCAAATAAAAAAATTAAATTCATTTTAAATTCATTCTTTTTCATATAAGTTAAATTGTATAAATATTTATAATTATTATTAATAAGTATTATTTATTTTATATTTTTCTTTGTATTCATCTTATACCATATACCCAGCAGGAGAAAAAAATCGATGCATTAACACAAAGCATCTAAAAGTATCACTAAAAAATCGAAAATTTCATATAAAAATCATTTATATTTGTATATATATTTTATTATTATATGTATTTTAAAATAATAAATAAATAAATTAATATTATATTTTTTATTAAAAAGTTATATATAAGCGTATATGTGTATGCATAATATTGCGCATGAAAATATTGACGTGAAATACAGCATAAAACAATAAATTTGGCATATCGATTCCTTAAAGCTACTTAAAACCTCAATAAAGCATCAATGCATTTCGGATTCTTCTGGCATCGACACCACTATAAGCTGCTGGGTAGATATTGTATTTAAATAAAACAATTTATTTTTATATAAGTTAAATTATGTTATTATGTATTACTATTATTAATAAATATTGTCTATTGGCACACTTCTTATTTATCAGGTTAAGTGATTGTTTTTATTAAACTTCATTCAAATTTTTTTCATTAAAAATAAATTAAATTAAATTGTTTATTTTAACATTTACAGCATTGCCACACATAAATTCGTCAATGCCACTTGGACAACAAATGCAACATCCACATCCACATCCACAAAATTTTCAAATGTTACCACAGCAAACACAACAGCAATTACCACCACAATCGCAGTATCCACAGCAGCAGCAACAACAACAACAACAGCCATCGCAGTCTCAATATTCTCAACAGCTTCCTACTACGGCACCAACAACAACTACATCGCCAATGCCACTCAATGGCACAACATCAGTTATTGCAAATGAAACGCAAACTCAAGGTGGTTCTATGTTACAACTACCACAACAGTCAACACAGCAGCAACAACAATTTATACCACCACTACATCAAGCTCCACCAGGAACATATTTGCCACAACAGATTCCACCACAGCAACAACCTCATCAATTACAACAGCAACAGCATCAACCATATACAACACCAATGCCAAATGGACCACAAAATTTTGTACCACAGCCACAGTTGACTAATGGAGTGCCAGGCATGATGCAATTACCAGTTCTTCAGCAGCAACAACAACCACAACCACAACACCAACACCAACAACAGCTTAACCAAAATCATAGTAACAATAATAATACGGATCAATTTAGTCAATTACAGCAACAAATGTCTGCCATGTCAATGGGAATCAATCATCCGGTAAACCAAAATTTTATTGTGCAAAATGAACAAAAAGCTAACATTCCAATTTATCAGCAACAACGGTAAAACTATACTGATTGCATGTAGCAAGCATCTCTTTGCCGTTCAAATGATGTTTCCTTTATGTGTTTGTGATTGGCTGATTTAATCCGTTTGATCTGATCCTCCAGGAGGTGAAAATTATAAATGATTTAGTTAAATGAAAGAAATGCAAAGAGTGTAAAAGCAGGCAAATATATATATATTAAAATTTAGGAATAAATTTATTGCTCTGTACTTTACAGTTGCTTACAATAATAAAAAAAAGTAATACACTTATAAGCAAAATAGAAATTTATTAACAAAAATATAAATACGAAACAAGAACTTTTAAAATATAAATACTGATGATAAACGAGATGATATAAACTATAAACTATTGTTTCCTAGTATGTTTCTGGTAATTTTCTTTGCAATGCTTGTGTCCACGTACTCTATCTACTATCTACTATGTACTATTTGTACTACTCATGAACATTCTTTAGTTTTAGAAATTGGATATAAATTATTTATACATTATTAAACATGTTTTTGAAGTTGATTTTATGTATTCTTATTAATAAAACAAATATTTAAATCTATATAAATTTTATTTTATAAATTATTAATTACGCAATTATTATATATATACATATAAACATATATATGAAAAGATATCAGAAACCATTATTATTATTAAAAAATTTATAACTATTGCATATACAAGTACATATATTTCAAATAATACAACAAGAAAAAAACATAAATGTTTATAATAATTGAAGTTGTAATTATTGTGGAAAAAATATAAGAACAAAAAGTTAAGTTAAAAGTTATATATTTATCAGGTAACATTAATTTTGATAGGTATCGATTTCTATGGTATCACATAGTATTCAATTCTTATAAAATTTCTTATAATAGTTTACAAAAACTTGGTTGTAATTACTGCGTTTATTTAACTGATGTTGTTGTAGTGGTAACTAGCAGAGATCTATTGAGCAGATGATATAAAATGAGTTACAAATACTGACAAAGGTTCCAAGAGTGACCGGAATGACCGGAACAACAAGTTACTGTTGTTGTTGTTTTTGTAGCCCGTGGGAATTTACTTGTAAAACCCCTTTAGGGGTAATTAATGGTACTTCGTCGTCAAGATAGACGAGTGATTCCAGGACGTAGATTCGGCTGTTCTTGTAACCTCCAGAAGCAAGTCGTTGAGTTCGACGACCAAGTACTCCACACTTTTTCCAAAAGGGACTTTACATATGGAAACTCATGACAATTGATTCTGATTATCTAAGAAAATGCATTAGTTTCTGATGTTGTAAACTACTGAGACTTCTAAGCAGATAAAATGAAAGGATGTACAAGACGATTAACATGGGTGAGGAAGTGGTGTGGTGAGGATATGGGGTTGATTTGGTGGGTGGGACTTAATTAAGCATTAATTCAGGTTCAGACGGAGAAATCTGGCCACTTCAATGGGGTGGGTCCAAAGGTCAATTGGACGAAGGTTTCTGTGCATTGTAGGAGAACAGATATGTGCGACGTTAACGTAGAACGGTCTATTCTGAGTGGTATACAACCATTTGTTTGCCTCAAGTCTTCAATTCTTGGCACAAGTCAATTCTTGAGAAAAACCAACCGTCGAACGAAGATACTCCACAATAATGTGAATTTCCACACATCAGTCCCAACTTAGTAACCAATGACATATTGTTCCTAAACATTGAGAAAAAATGTGTGGCGTGCGGTGGAACAGGTTTTTGAGGCATTCAAAACCGTGATTTTGGAGATATCAACTTCAGGGTGACAAAACTATCTCGAAAATTAGTTCAATCGAATGCAAAAATGTGTTGATTATCATGGAGAGTACTTCGAAAAAAAAAAAATTAAATCATTTTCAGTGATTAATAACTGTGTTTTCATTGTTAGGTCAAATTTACAGGTTAGATCGAAGAACGAATAAACATTGATTATATATTCTAACGTAATTATTATTACCATTGTTATAAAAATACACAAAATTGTTATTACTTAACTGTTTCTATAACACCTCTTCATGATATTCTGCTTTGTCGCCTTACTTTAAAATTGTTTGTCATATTGCTCCAGTATTGTCGGTATTGCTCCAATTCTGATGATATCGAAGACGTTTCTAAATATTGTACTTTAATTTGTTGAAAAATCTCTTCCTTTTTAAATATCGGCATTAATTAAAAATAATTTTTTGGAATATATTTATTTTGGATGTCCTGCAAGTTTATTAGTAAACACTTTTCTATAGTGAATTGCCTCAATTTTGCCGGATCTGAACCTTTGTAAAGAATATTGTTAGGTGTTGCTTTTTCTTCTTTTTTCTCGGTATTCGCGTTTCTGATTAAAGGATATAGGTATCCCCTATCTTGTTTGTTTCTTTTATTTTATTCCAACTTATTTGATGATTACATTTATATTTATTATTGGATTTTTTAATTATATCTTTCTCTGTTTGCTTGCAGGTACCCACCAAATATACAATTTTGACATAGATCACTTCAGGTGTATTCCAACATAATTCTTTATACTGTTTCTATTTAGTTTTGAATTCTTATTAAAGAAAGTCTATTGGATTTATGAACGCATTTTTCAATAGTATTCACTTACTTATTTTCTTGCAAGTACATACCTTTTGCGTTGATATTTTTGTTGTAATAATCTATGCAGAACGATATATCTTGTTCAAAGTACTTTCCTTTCGATATCAAGCATCCAGTAATTACAGAAAGAAACATATCGAATTAAAAATATTTGGTATCGAGTGTTTATTTGTGTTCATCAAGATCGCGGTATCCGTAGTTGATGGTGAGTGTACATATGGAAGAACCCAGAAATAAATTAATTTAAATAATTAAATGTATGTTTGTTTACTATTTGCTTGTAGAATTGTTCATTTCATTCGAGTAATTAATTAAGCTATTTTCTCTAAATCAAAACATGATTCAATTTCATAAAAAAATTTAATATTGCTAATTTTTATATTTAACAAGCGAGAAAGCAATCTAAATAAAAAGACTAACTGAATTATAAAAGTTTTAAGATTAATTGCTCTTGATAAAATTATTGTAATTTAATATAATTAAAGCAATAATGACTTGCAAATATTTAATTTGCATTGTTGGCAAAACATTTTTAGTGCCACAATAAAATGTGTCAGAAAAATAATTCTGACTGCAATCACATTCACACGTACTTGTTAAGATAGGTCAGTTAAGGTTATCTGCTCTAAGAGTATTCTGGATTCGACAATAAAATTCTGATGCCTAATGTTATTTAAATTAGTTTTAATTTAAGGTTTTATTCGATCGGTAAAGTTCGAGATGTTTGACGGTTTCACGTGGACAGTTCTTATTCTCATAATATTTCTGTTTTTATGGCTTTTAAAAAGATATTTACGTGTTCTATACTTATCGCAGCAATTTTTGGGTCCGGTGCCGTGGCCACTAATCGGAAATGCAGATATATTTTTTAATATAAAACCGGAAGAAGTGGTTTTAGTTGTTGCAAATTTATTCGAAAAATATGGTAAAACCGTCAAAATTTGGTTTGGGTTTGAATTTTCGATATTTATGAGCGAATTAAAAGATGTGGAGTTAGTGCTCGGCACAACGGTGCTATTGGATAAATCAAGTGAATATAGCTTACTGCGTCCATGGCTGACTGAAGGTTTGCTGATCAGTCGCCCTAGAAAATGGTTCAAGCGAAGAAAGGTGTTAACTCCAGCATTTCACTTTAAAATACTCGATCAATTTATAGAAATATTTAATCGTGAGTCAACTGTGTTTGTCAAGAACCTACAACAAAGCATTAAGAATTCAGAAGCTATTGATTTGAATCAATGGATCACACTGTTGACACTTGATACAATTTGCGGTAAGTTAAGTTATAAATAAATTTAAGTAAATGGACCACAGTTAAACATTTGAAATAGTAATTAATTTTATCGAGGTTTTTATTTGAGTATATATAAATTTAAGTATATATCATTAGTGCTTTAAAGTACAGATTTACATATATATTTTTGTGATGCTCTTATGAAAATTTATGAAAATATGAAAATTTTCTTCTGTGTATGTAAATCCAAAGGAAGCTATAGACCATTTCATTAGGAAAGACTACTATAAACAATATTATTACATATTAAAAAATTAATTGAAATTGGTTTTACAATAGTTTTTGTTGTTGCGTCACCGTCATTTATACAGATTCACTACATCGTATGCAATGTACGAAGCAATGCATGTCTATAAATAACTAAGAAATAACATTAACAACTTCTCGTTAAATTTGTATCCCAGCAAACAATTTTTTTGCACATGAAACACTATTTTTGTAGTAAATTTTGAAAAGTGTTAATCAGTTATGTACGCTATAATGATTATTACCCATCTTCTATTTTGATAAACAGTAAAGAAGTAGAGTCACTGGTTCAAAACTACAATATATTTCATTATCTTAATAACTCAATTGTGATTGCTGTGGCAGAGTTCAATAGATATTTTTCCACTTCTTATAATCAGTGATTATTCTTCGTTTTACTAATGCGTAACTTCCAAGAAACTTAAAGAGAAAAGATTATATCCATCCTTTTAAACTATCAAAGAGATACATTCCTCATAACCTGTTTCTTGCTGTAGGAGAAATGCTTGATTACTACTTTTTCTCCTAAGTTTTCTCCAAAAATATTACCATTAGGAATATGCAGTTTTTCTGCATTGGTTTCTACACATCAGTAATCTGAAAGAACAACATTAGGTCAATTATAATAACAAATATTTATTAGAATTTATACCAAATTTTATTAAAATTTTTACATAGAAATTGGCATCATTATTCTTTAAAATAGTCGTTTAGCATGGGCATTAAGAAGTAGTGGGCATTAGGAATTTAAAGTGTTTGAACATTATTTTCGATGAATAAAACCGTTGATCTGACAATATACTGGAATCATTAGTTTTATATCATGATCGGCATTAATACTGTGGTATGACTACCACGAATTGTAGTTTTCCAACAAATATAACTATAACTTTATTTCTTTTTTTGATATACGTACACAAACTATACCTTGTACAGACGGGTCTAATACATATGTAGTTTATGATGAAAATTATTAAACTTAAGTTCGCATTATCGTGTTAAGTATTTTGAGAACACTTAGGATAACTTTCGACTTCTCTATGTGTACTCGGCTATAACGTTCTTCACTTGAGATGTGTTCTGGCTATAATATTTTGCAGATCTTACATTTATAGTGCATCACCGGTTTCATGTTAGCATAATATTTTCGTTATATATTCCCAAATTAATCAAATTCCATATATTGTTTAAGTACTAGGTTTTAAAAATTGGAAAAGTGTGATTTGATTACCGTTTTCGTTTTCTAAGTGAGCATGAATGTAGATATTAGAAAGTTCAATTTTAATTCTATTGATGGCTCATAAAATATGCCTGGAGAGTACCAAATGGGTTTAACAATAAGCCATGTAATATATTATTCCATAAAATTAATTTATTGGGTAACGCTCATGCTTTAAACTTTGTATTACTCACTTTCGTAAAAGAAGTTTAGATGGATGGATCTTTCATCTATTCAAAATTATTTTGAAACTTATTCAAAGAATTTTACAAGAAAATGAATATTTAGAGAAGGATTTGCAAAATTACTATATATAGAAATGTTATTTTTATAAGTAATTCCTGATGAAGTGCAAAGAAAATTCTATAACACAAACTACAGATTTTCCAGAAAGTAAATTGCATATGAATGTAACAGTTATTGGGAAGCTTTGGGTAGTATGAATCTTTGGAATCTTTGAAAATTATGAAGCTTTTAATCAATAGAAAGGTAGGGTCGCGATATTCTCTGTTTTCTGTGGTGTAGCTAACGAAATTATTAAGTAAGTTTATAATCGATAGAAAGGTGGGTATGTGATATTATCTGCTTTTTATGGTGTAGATAACTAAATTATTAAGTAAGCTTATAATGAATAAAAAGAAAGGGCTGCGATAATATCTACTTTCTATAGTTCCGCTAACGAAATTATTAGGTAAACTTAAAATCACTGAAAAAATAGAGCAGCGATATTATATATTTTCTGTGATGTAGCTAATGAAATTGTTAAGTAAGTTTATAATAAATAGAAAGATGGGTACGCGATGTTACGTGTTTTCTAACTAATTAGTAAGTTTATAATAAATTAACACTGTTTTTTATAGTGTTGATAACCATAACATTTAGTAAATTTCTAATGAATAGAAAAGATGGGTACGCGGTATTCCTTGTTTTCTACAGTAACATTAACTTATTCTCACAGTGTCCGCGGTTTTCTCTTCATGTCAGGATCAGATTTTTTAAATGTAATCGTTACAAGTTTTATGATTGGTTTCATAATGATATAGTTATAACGATATAGTTACATATGATTGCAACATATCTACATCACATACAAATAAAAAAGTTCTTCTGTATTTGTAGTAGATCAAGTCTTTTTTTGTCTCTATCTGCTATCTGACACTTTATATATCCTCACATATGTAAAAACCATGTTGAAAATATAGCCGAAAACTGAGAAAGTTCTAAAATTGCACCTACAGTTGAACAAGTTGTTGCTATTCATATAAATTTGATTAATGAACTTCGATTCCGATTCTGCAACTTTCATAATAGCTGGTCAGCATTAATATTTATGAAAATCATACTGATATTTTTAATAATTGTAATGGGATAATATACATATTTACAAACAATCCATTAAGCCTTGGAGTGTCTATCTCCAATACATCTTGACAACCTTAATAAACTCCATTTATTCATAGGTACATTGTGACCGAAAAGTTTCCGGAAATTTTAAATAAAACGCAAAATTCTTAATCTTCATCAATATTTATTTTATCTCCTTCAAAATATGCTCCATTAGAAGCGATACACAAATGCCAACGTTTCTTCCAATCATCAAAACATTTTTTATAGGCGCTTTCCGGTATGGCTTTGAGTTTCCTCTGCGAATTCTGTTTTACGTCTTCTATGGATTCAAAACGCGTTCCTCTGAGTGGTAATTTGAGTTTGGGAAACAGGAAAAAGTCACACGGTGCAAGATCAGGTGAATACGGGGGCTGTTCGATGGTATTTATTGAATGTTTGGCCTTAAAATCGTTGATAATGTTGGCTCGGTGCGAGGGAGCATTATCGTCATGAAAAATCCATGAATTATCCTTCCACAATTGAGGCCGTTTACGGCGGATATTTTCACGCAAACGTCTTAAAACAGTCAAATAATAGGCTTTATTGACTGTTTGTCCTTCAGGGACGAATTCATGATGCACCACACCACGAATATCGAAGAAAACAATCAGCATTGCCTTGATTTTCGAGCGACTTTGGCGTGGTTTTTTCGGTTTCGGCTCGTCTTTTCCTCTCCATTCCGATGATTGTTGGCTTGTTTGCATGTCGTACTCGTAGACCCATGTCTCGTCACCCGTTATGATGCGTTCCATGAAAGTTGGATCGGAATTGGCACGATCAAGCATGTCTAACGAGACCTGTCCACGATGGTGTTTTTGGAACAAATTGAGGTGAATCGGAAAAAGCCGAGCGTTGACACGTCGCATACACAAATTGTCCACCAAAATCAAACGAGCCATCTCACGACCGATGCCTAGCTCTCGTGCTATCTCTCTAACACTCACATGAGGATTTTTGAACACGATTTCCTTTGCCTTTTCAATGTTTTCGTCGGTGGTAGAGGTCGAAGGTCGTCCAGAACGCGGCATGTCTTCGACGGTCGTACGACAGTCCTGAAAGGCTTTGTACCACTCATAAACTTGAGTTTTCGATAAAACTGATTCCCCATAAGCCTTTTGTAGCATTCGCAACGATTCTGCACACGAAAATTCGTTCGAAACACAAAATTTGATGCAAACTCTTTGATCAATATTTTTTTCCATTGTTTTTTTCGCAACGCACTACTGAGGTGAACTGGTTTCAACAGCTGCCGTAAACGAACTGTCTGACAGATCGCGCTCATTTTTGGCATAGTAATTAAGGACAGTGCTGCCAAACTACATAAACTTAAAATATCGAAAAATATACAGCGCGCGAATTTTAAATGAGAATTTCCGAAAACTTTTCGGTCACAATGTATGTGTTAAGTGTATAAAAAGTGAAAATCATACTAATAAATATATTTGAACTTTGGTTTTATATACAAAAGTATTTTATCAGTAGTTTTTATATAGAAATTTTTATAGGCGTGGTCTACACGTACAAGTACATAAAGAAAATGCAGTTATTTTGATATTTTTGTATTGTACTTTAAACTCTTGCAAATAATCAGACAATGTCAAGAATAATGATGATAGCTCTAAACGACAGTGGAAGGAGAAGATAATCACACTTCTCCCTGATATTCTCCCTGATATTCAAAACTATATATAATCAGTGTAAAATGTATATCTCCATCAGTGTAAGTTGATGTCGTTTGAATTTGTTGTTATATATACTCGTAATAGTTATTTATCGCTGGGTAAACAGCACAAAACCGATTTGCCATTAACAATCTCCCTGAGGGAAAAGACTTGATAACATAAACATACAGAACAATTTGGAAATGCAAAGCGAATGTGAAAATTTATTTTATTTATCAGTTTAGTATGATTAGATTATCTTTCCGAAATCCATTTATTGATCGTTTAACTTTAATATTGTATGCGGTTAATTTAAAAACAAAATAGTTTTATTGAAATTGTTTGATTGCCTTGACATTCATAATTAGTGCGTTGAAAATGTTTTTTGTGCTTGTGTTTATATCGGTTACCATTTGGTTAGCGATACTTTCAATTTACCTATTCAAATATAAACATTTAATAGATGTCACTAAAAATATACCAAGCCCACCTGCCCTGCCAATTATTGGCCATGGCCACTATTTCATTGGCAAAACCCCAGATCAATACATAGTGCAAATAATGGATTTTATGGAGACTCATGGGAGAACAATAAAAATTTGGTTAGGCCCAGAATTAAATATGATCATGAGTGATATTAAGGACGTAGAGATGATTCTTAGTACAACGCGTTTCAATGATAAAGCTGGAGAGTATAAAATGTTGGAACCATGGCTGCAGGAAGGATTATTAGTAAGTCGTGGCAGAAAATGGCATAAGAGGCGTAAAGTTATAACTCCCGCTTTTCATTTCAAAATTCTTGATCAATTTATTGAAGTTTTTGATAAAGAATCGCGTATTTTATTAAAGAATTTAAAAAAGGAGTCCGAAATGCAGACCAAGCATGGATTTGATATCTACAATTGGATTAATTTGTGTACATTGGACACAATTTGTGGTGAATATTTTTTTTGAGTGTTATAAACCTTAGTTTTATTGGCAAAAAATTTTCAGTTTTAAAATCTCATAAACTGGAGATCATTTTATAATACATAAGATAATTAACTAAATTTATTGCAACTCTTTACATTAAGACTTTTTAAAATATTCTATAACTAGAACCTACTACATAAAGTTATTGATTGTATTTTGTTTAAAGAAATCAATAGAAAGGTCCTGGCCTTAGCAAAGGTCCTGGCCTGGTGGTCACATTTTTTCGTTGCGAAATATTGTTAAAATGTTAATTAAATAAAATACTTTTAATAATATATATGAATAAATAATATCTTAATTGCTGACTGATGTTTGCTTTAATATTTAAATTTTTGTATTCATGTTTTTTGCAGAATCTGCAATGGGCGTTTCCATTAACGCACAAACTAATGCTGATTCGGAATATGTAAGAGCTGTAAAAACGTGAGTAATGATACTAAATATTATTATTATAAGTAATTAAAAAATGAAATCAAAAAAAATAAACTGTTCGTAACTGTTCTTCTATGCCAATGTGATTCACTTCTGCTCAAACTATTCATTCTAATATCAGGTTGAAAAACTCAGGGGATAAGAACGTACCCTGTCAGAAACCTCGTTTGCTTTCAGATATCTCGGACAGATTTTTTCCAACACTAACACCATTTCACATAGCTGGATAAGTTTTACTGGGATATCAAATTCAATCGTAGTTATACTTATAAGATCCAATCTGTTCGTTGATGATTAACTTCAATCTTCCATAAAGTCGGTTTCACATATTTTTATATGTAATATTAAAAAGTCTGTTCTTGCGATAGTAGATATAGTTTGCAGGATCGTCCTTTTTGTGCAATCATTCGACCATATTTTACAAATGAACTCTAGAATGGGTTAAAAAAGTGCATCACATTTGGTGATCAGATGTTTCACAGACTCTACCTTAACTTCGAGCTTGTAATCATTTAAGATTTAACCGTCTTAAGAGTTAGAGTCGTCACACCATCATATGAAATCATTCGAAAGCCGCTTACCGACTCGTTGAAGTCATATGAGTATAAGTACCAAATATGCTGAGTAGCATGATTGATGAAATAAAAATATAACTACAACTATTGTATGTAGGGCAAATTTCATAATCTGAATAAAGAAAACAAGATTGGGAATACAATTAAAGTTTTAGATATATGTGTTCATAACATTTTGCAAGAACATTTATATATCAAAATGTTGTCTCAACAAGATGGATTTCCCACTAAAAATTCTTCGGGCTTAAATATTAGCTGTCCGTGATAATGGGTCTCTTATTGCACTATTATATGGCTTACTTCTACTGAATTAAAAATAAAATTTCACCTAAATTTTGTTGAAATATTAGTTTAGGTGTGGTTTTAGCGGCAATCCAATAGAATCCACTTAGGCCTATTGGCCCATTGTGTTACCGTATAAGGGAAAAGCTCAGAAGTCTAACACCACCATAACAAAGCTTAAAATGCTATTTAATAAGATCTGTTGCAGTTTCTCAAAATCTTTAAAAAAGGAGGCCTCTAGAATAGTAAGGCAGCGCCGCGCATTGTTGGGCAAGAAGGCACAAATAGATGGAGGTGCTTCCATAGTCCTTTCTACAACTACAATATATATAATTAAAAGGGAAATTCAATCTTCTAGCATTGTTTCCTAATCTGTAGTGACCTGTAAGCAAATCTATCACAGAAGTGATATCTCTACGGGGCATCTCAATGAAAGTGTTGGATTTCTTGACCAAATTTCATACAGATGCCTAGCACAGTTTAGCACAGAAGAAACTTAGTAACGGTTTGCATGAAGTCGAAATCTTTACAAACAACATACATTTAAAGAATCTCGAAGAATCTTTTTTCTCAGAAACTAAAAAAAATGGAATATCGCTGCAGCAAGCTTAGAGCGGACTTTGTCAGATTATTTTATTTTTATTGTAACTATCTAAGCAATCCTTATCTTTAAAGGGCTAATCTATAAATTTAGTAGAGAAAATAAATTCTTGTGATGAGTAGAAATATAATAAGAATAAATAATAAGATCAATTGGGTTTTTTTTTTCTTGCAGAATTTCAACTGTAATGCATAAACGAATGTTTGATATTTTATATCGGTTTGACCTGACCTACAAATTTACAAAATTAGCACAGGAAGAGAAAAAGGCATTGAATGTGCTTCACAGCTTTACTGAGAAAATTATTGTACAAAGGCGCGAGGAAATACTCAAGGCTCAAGAAAACAAAACTAAATCTTCTGAAAAGAATGAAGACATCACCGATGTGGGCGCCAAACGAAAAATGGCTTTTCTTGATATACTATTACAATCAGAGGTTGATGGAAAGCCATTGACTAATTTAGATATACGTGAAGAAGTAGATACTTTTATGTTTGAGGGGCACGACACTACGTCCTCGGCTATAAATTTCTTTTTCTATAACATTGCGATAAATCCAGAATGCCAACGAAAATGTGTTGAAGAGATTGTATCTGTGCTTGGCAAAGATAAGAACACAAAAGTTACTTATGAATATTTAAATCAACTGCACTATATTGAGTTATGTATTAAAGAAACCTTAAGACTTTTTCCATCAGTGCCACTTTTAGGTCGAAAAGTACTCAACGAATGCGAAATAAGTTAAAATCAAATACGAAATCTATTTAAAAATATAAGTAATTTTAGATTTTTCTTCATAGATGGAAAAACAATTCCAGCAGGAACGAACATAGGAATATCACCATTACATTTAGGTCGCATGGAAGAACTGTTTCCAGATCCAAATTCTTTTAAGCCAGAACGATTTGACGTTGTAACAAGTGCTGAAAAAATGAATCCATATGCGTATATACCATTTTCAGCTGGTCCACGTAACTGTATTGGCCAAAAATTTGCTATGTTGGAAATTAAAACCGTAGTCGCAAATGTGTTACGTAACTTTGAAGTCGAATTTGTTGGAAACGCGGAAATTCCGCCGATGTTAATAGCTGAACTCATCCTTAGACCAAAGGACCCGTTAATGTTTAAAATGACTCCACGCGTATATTAAATAATGATTTATATTATTACATTTTTATAATAAATTTTCAATATGTAAATTTGATTCTCTTTTAATTATTTATTTATTAATTTTTTCTACACAATTCTTTATTTGATATAAGATATATTAAAAAAATCATAACATATACAATCTCGAAAACAAGCTCAGTACTTGTGTTACATGGTAACACCCTAGAATGGCAACCACGTAGTATATGTACTCTTAATGTTTGATTAAAGTATTGCCTGCCTTTTGTGGTTTTATATGTGTACATCCACAAATCCGTAGTTTAAAATGAACATCCTATAACAAAATGACATCCTATACCAGACACTTGATCGGTCTTGATCGGTCTTGATCGATATTAGAAAGTGAATAAATTTTGTAATATCTGAAATGAGTCTACTTAAATTCTTCTCCAGAAGGTTTTCAATTCTAGTTACATTACTGCATCATGGATGAATTTGTCAACTATATTTTTTGCAAAACCTACACAATAACTCTCAAATCGACTTTATCAATCAGTTATGTTATTATGCATTAATAGGGAATAAACATACGTACACATACTTCCATTAATTTTTTTCGATGGCTTTAGTCCTTGAGCGAAGAATTTCTATATTTAAGGATACTATAGAGTGCAGATATGATTTTGCTTTTATATTTGAGTACTACCGTTAACTAGAGCCGGATCAAAGGAAGAGGAGGAAAGTATTATCAGAAGCTCTGGGAATATCTACTACTTCCTACCTCGCTAGGAGAGGCAAATTTACTCTGCGTTGACCTTTTTAAAAAATCTGTCCGATGTCACTTGCACATGTTTTAAAGATATTGTTATATCTATATTACTGGAAACTGCATGCTCATAAATTCAGATATTGTATTTCAATTAGCCCATTTTTGGGACTAAAATACTATTGACTAAGTAAGTCAGTGCAATGCTCCGAGGTATGCGATATAAAAATGTTGTAAGACATTTAGAGTCCATTCCAGATGATGAGTTTAAAGCATTTGTGAGGTAAAATGTTGCAGATAATCATCTAACTTAAAAATGACAGTAGTTAGGATATTGAACTATACCGAGTAAAGAATGTGTTAGACTTAGACGAATGAGCTAAGATATTCAATTTGTTAGAATAATTACTGAGTCGGACCTGACATGTCTCCAACGTAACAGATAAGCGTCTTCAAGTGTTTAGCGTTTCCTTATTTTTTTTTTAGAGTCCTTGTTCAAGATAGATTATTAGATTACCAAATTTTTTAGACTTGGTGCAAGTGTTTTGTTTTAATATTTTCTCAGAGAATTTAACTAAATAACTCTAAATAACTCTATTAGTACCGATTGGTATGCAAAGAGCGTGAGAATAACTAAAACATGTATAAAGCTCAAGGATTTTATATTGCGAGTTTTGTTGCTATATAATTTCAATGGTAGAAACCATGTTCTGCGATTCAAACAATGGATAAATTGTTATGTCTACTTAACTCATAATATGGAATAGAACGCCTTTTGAATTAAAAAGAGTATGTTAAGCTTCGATTGCTGACGAATTATCGGTTAGATCAGTTGAAATTAATTATGATTTGAAATTCGTTGTAATTCAACTGCTATACCCTCTGATCTTGAACATAAGAATTTTTTTTAATATGTTTGACTTTGAACTATATATTATATAAATATAACACTCGATTCTTGAAATGGTGTCTTAGAAATATTTGACTTATTTTTTTTATCACGAAACTTTAAGTATAATGCATATGTATTATAAACTTAGCTTACAATGATTCCCATTATAATACACAGTTCTCATTAATACACAGTTCTCATCATTGTACTCATGCAGTGTTATCTTGGTACTAAGTCACATATTCGATGTAATGTCGTTATTGAATATTAAATAGCTAATATAATATAATAATATATAATATAGAACTATTTTTTTTAATATTATTATAATTTTTTTACCATAAACCTTACCATGAAGACAAGAACTACAAGAAATGATATATGTGACATAAAAATGATGGTGTTAAATATGGGAACAGAGGCTAATATATTGGAGAAAGACATTTATGCTACATAAGAAGTGATGAGCCATCTTTAATATTGGTAAACTGATTTGTTTAGATCTAATGTTAATAGGTCACCCTTTTGGCCAATATGCAATATCTCCAGTTTAAAAGAATAAAAAATAGTAGCTTTCTATATAGATATGGTATGAAATTTGAAAATTGCGTTAAAAGCTATAGAAGTATTAAACAATTGCTACTCAAAGATCAATAATGTGTGTTGGATATAGTAATGCGCTTGGAAATATACTTGTAATGCTTGGACCTTTGAAGTATAGCAGGAGTTTATTCAAATTAGAATGAAAAAACTTGAATTTATATCAGACACTTTTTGATATAGATTCTTTTTTTAATTCGCTCCCTCGTTTCTAAATAATAATTATATATATATATCACAGTGACTAACAATTATGAAATTATTTTAAAATTTTTTGATCACTTTCATTACTAAATCTCTGAGTAGAGTATAGAGATAACTGGAAATGCAATTCTATGTGTTGAGGGGCGTTTGTACACTCTTCAAAATCGTGACTAATTACAGAAATTAAAACACTGTATCTGTGATTCGTTATCGCATTTGTGGCGTCACAATACAAAAAAATAAAAACTTAAATTAAAAAATAATATACAAATATAAGAAAAAACAAATCAGTGCTTTAGTAGATTTGCAATAAATGGAAAAGTTTTATAAACAAATGGGGCGAATTTGAAATTCATATCAAAATTGCGTCGAAATAGACTTAAAGGTTGGACTTCAAGTAAACTGACTGACGACTTTCAAGATACATAAGAGTCCTATATAATATATATCAAGTCAAGCACTCGATAGAAGACAGTTAAAGTTTGATAATTTATAGAAAAAATTATAGTACTATTTAAGAATTCCACATCTTAATAAATTCCCAATGTACCATATTTATGCCCATGCTTTCTAACTTTGATAAATCTAGCCTGCTAGGTGTTAAACTTTTTGCTCTCTCCCTTTAGTATTGGAATGAAATTTCTATGCTGCGAAAATTTTCTCCATTCAATCCTAAGAGGTGGTTTTAGTGGATTCAACCCTCACACTAAACATTAAATTAAATTAATTAATAAATTAAAATAATTTGTTTATTTATCTTTATTTTATCTTAATTTCTTTAAAATATTTTATGTTTTATATATATTATTTTATATTATGTGTTTTATATATATTTTATAATATACATTATAACATCAGTATTTAGCGCAGCGGGTACGGCTTAAACATTTTTCTGTTAATAACAAAAGCTCCACCAAAAGTTTTTCTGCAAAGCTTTAATAAAATGGGATATTTTAACAGAAGCTTTTTTAATCTTTTAAAATAAACTTTTATCTGCATTTTTATAGAATTTTTTTGCTATAAATTAGAGTAACATTGATTTGAAGTTCTTATTTTTATAATAACTTAATAGCTATTTCTTCCGTTATAACTGATTTTTTTTTGAAATAGTATAATTGCTATGAAGAATTTTTTTAAATAAAACTTTGTAAAGAGATGAAATTTAGTTAATTAGATTTAGTTAATTTAATTATTTATTGTACAGAGTTGTGGTTACATGTAGGATGTTTAATGGGTCACCATGAACTGCGTTATTACCTTAACAAAATGGCTCTGCCCGAAGAGATAGATTGTCGACTCTGCTAAGAAGCAGACGAGCCTTTCAGTCACATTCTCTGTGACTGCCCAGCATTGATCTGGGCCAGGAGAAATGCACTGGGTCGAGAACAACTCTCCCCTTCTGACATTAGGAGGTCCTCAACGACCGACTTTCTGGCCTTCATTTGGAAAGCGGAATATCTTCAGTTAGGTTAGCGTCTGTTACAGCACAAAAGATCAATCATGATCGCAAGGTTTCTTTCCGTTAGGAGCTAGTATCCCATTTATTCTTATCCTATATTGTAAATATATATTGTAAATATTTTTTTATAATAACTAAATTTTTTAATAATAATATCAATTCATAAATAAGAGGCTTCAGTGAAAGTAAACATATCATTATTTTTGTATATTTACATATATTTTACTGGTGATTTCTATAATATTTGAAACTATTATTTTCACTTCAAAATATATTCGCCTATAAAATATAAGATAAAGCAAACATATTTCGTTTTTGTCTGTTAACTGCGCTGTTCTTAACATTTCGCTTCGTACTGTTAATAATACATTGGACATTGGATGTTGAACAGAAAACTGTTAAAATGCAGAAATTGCTTTATTGTAAGAAAAAAAGTTTAGAAATGATTATTATATGTAACGGATAAATAATTTAATTTTTAATTTAAATTCAGTTAATAGTTTGAAAGAAGCTCACTGGAAAAATTTTTATAAATTTTTGAAAATTATGATTCAAATTTTTATTTTTATCGCAATAAACCTATTAACATATTAAGCATAATATAGTTAATTTGCTTTCCATTGTTTATAATTACGAATAGATTAACATTAATTGGTAAAACTACGGATAATAATTGCTAATAAAAAAATATTAATTCTCAATAGGAAAATAAATAAATAATATATTTATTTTGCTTAAACGCAAATCGGTTAAGATTTTTTTTTTATTTATTTACTTATTTATGTGCGGAAATAATTTAATCTCATAAATTGTTTATTTTTTTATTAGTTTAATTTTTTCATATATTTCCAAATGAAATTATTAAAAAAATTCTTATAAAAAGTGGCATTTTTCATAATTAAATTTTATTGTTATACCACCGGACCAACACACAGAAATTAAATTAAAAATAATGTAATGTTGAATAGGACCATTAACAATATAATAAAAATACAATAATCATACTATAACTTTAAAATGTAAAATGCTTTACTAAAATAACGGAATATAAGTCAGAAAATTAATGGCATATAAAAAGCAAACAATCAACACTCTTAGAAAAATCGCTTGCTGTAAAAATTCATTTAGTAAGTAGCGGACTTAGAATAAACGGAACCAAAAAAACCCAAACAAAAACCCAACCCAAAGGAACGCGGTACTAGGCTACCCGACGAAGCAGAGCCCTGCGACCAGATTGATCTTTATGTGACATGCTTCATACTGAAAAAGTAAGCGTTTAACCTTTTATTAATGCCATTGACTAAAAAAATAAACAGATGCAGTTTAATAATGAAGAATTGGAAATATAAAGCTTACATTGATCACAATTTAACTATATATTAACTCAATGACCCCATCATATAAATAAAAAAATTCAACAATAAAAAGTACTTCTGAAAAAAGAATAAGCGCCCAAAGAGTAGTTGAGTTCTTGCCTCCTCAGAATAAGATAATATAAGAAAAAGATCTACAACTCCCTAATAAACAGGACTGAGGGAAAAATGAGTAGAATTTACTCATGGTAAAGAAAATCAAATAAATGTTAAAAATAATGAAAAGGAAGACAAACCAGGTGAGAAAGTTTAAGATTCGGGTTCCAACTCCGTTCGGTTAGGTTAGGTTGTGCTGGCAGACCAAAAAGGCCACGCGTAGACCATTAGGGTATTTCGGAAATATTAACACAATATATTTAAATCTTTCTCTAAAATAAGGAAAATATGTCATAACGTTAAGAAAGGTAATACCTATGTGAAAAGATGATGTAGTAGTCATAAAATAATTTGAGCTATATACAGTTAGAGAGTAAGATTAGAACTTTTTTTATAAATGATCTCTATTACTTATTGCTTTAATTATCAAAGTTTTTGAATAAATAATATCAAATAAAAAATAATGATGATATCTTGCTTCAAAAAATTAGTAAATGTAAATCTTTAAGA